CAGAAGCGTATTTTGGATTTCGTCATGTTTGTCCTTTGTTTTCCTTGTTCCCCTTCTCCGGGGATTATTATCATCATCCATGGTCCTCTTTGTTCCCTTTATCTGGGTGAATATCCAATTATGAATATCCATCTATCCATTCATCGTCCTTCTTCATGTACTTTATCCTCCCTCCTTCCTCTTCCGCCAGGAGTTTGCTCTACTAACGACTAACTCCTGGTTAGCTGAGTTGGTAGAGTGCTCCGCTACTCTTGAATAGGTTCCGCAATCGATGTTCGGACCAGGCGGATTTTCTCAGTGGCACACCAGTCGCCTAGGGCCGCGAGCTGTGTGAGTTGTGTTCCATCTCAGGTGAAAGTCAGATCGGTTTATTCACTCGTAAATCGCCTTCACCTGGCGGACTTCCCATCCTCTTCGAGCGATTGCCTATCACGCACGCGCACACGTTCAACAAAATTTTCTTTCCACCTGTTTCACTCGAGTTAATCCTTTATAAAATCCTAATTGGAAGCCACCCAAAACATATCTGCTAGTTTTATTCTCAACCTACCACTGCTCAGAAAGCATCATCAGCATGAAAACTACTGTCATTGCCACTCTTCTCCATCCACCAAAGGTTGCTCGCCTTTCTTCATTTGATAAAATTTATTTTCATAATTCCATTCTACGCGACCGATTGCTCGCCCCCCCCCCCCTCCCCCCCCCCCCCCCCCCCCCTTTCCTGTTATTTTTCCCATACGTCCCAGGACTGGAACCACCTTCCAGAGACAACTGGCGCCATCGTAGACTCTGAGCCTTTTATAAATGCCATTAATAATTGCATTCCTGTGAATTGTGCCTAACATGCAACTTGTATTTTTTTTTTCAAATTTTTGTTGTCCTATTTTCTCTCTTCGTATTGCCTTCGGGCCTTGAGAGAACAACAAAGAAACAAAATAAAATTTTGACGTGGTTCTGCATCGAATTTTATTTGATGCGCACGCGAGTGTGAATCCCTTTCGAAGTGTAATAAATTTTAATAGACCGATCTCAGTAAGCGTTCAGCGCATGCGTGATTCCGCCATAGCTTTAGTTGACAGAAGGCAAACGGTCGTGCATGCGAGGGCTCGTGCCGTCCTGTGCTCCACAATCGCAGACCTCCAGCAAGGTTATTGCACTTCCAGAAATACTAATGTTCCCTCGATGCATTGCGGCAGAGGTGGCGGAGTCAAACTGGCTGGTAAACTCGACCTAATATATTTTTTTTTTAATTCGTGACGAATTTAAAGTGTGGATTTTAATTCAGTGTGCGCTTGTGCAGCCTGAGTTCTCTCCAGTACAACGTGATCGCGATCTGTTTTCTGAGCTACGATATCCTTATTTATCCAAGTTTAGAATTTAGGAAATGACCTATTATCGAGTTAGTTTCACTAATCGGCGGGAACTTACGTCACAGTTAAAAGCAGACTTGCACCATCGTTGCCCCTGTAGCGGCTGCAATATCTGCTGAGTCGCTAGGGAGCCTTAGTGCATATCGTTTTGCAATGAAGGATATCGATGCAATAATATTTGCACTTTAAATTTGCAAGGGAGCTAGTGAGGACAGGATTCGTTTACGTCTTCCGTGTCTGAAGCATACACGTTTTTACAGAAAGAAGCACATGGATAACCGTTCGTGCCGGAGTTAGACTGAAGACTAAAGTAAAGTCTAGTAGTTAGTGGTGAGCGTAGCGGAAAGCCGGAACATGTTGGCCACTCTCGTTTAGTCTCGTTTAGTAGGACACTGTTCGGATGAAGGAACGACGCCTCGGGTGCGAAAGAGCGAGGCTCTGTGGTTATCGTGGAACCAAGAACGGATGATTTACCAGCTTTGCCTGTTTAAAGTGATTACTCGAACGGCCTCATGCAAAATCTGATCTTTCACAAAGCGTTGTCAACTCGCGCAAAACATACACGCGAGGCCCGTTAAGTGTGCTATCCCAGCTCGTAATGCACTTCAAAATGTCCTCTCGTGGGCACATCGGGCGTATGCGGCCATAACGCTGGCTGCGAGACTTTGCGTTTCCTTGTACTTTACATATACGCCCACGCCTTTTACAACCTCCAACTTAACGACCTGCAGCTCTCTTGTTTCTTGAAGACGACTTGAGCGCAGAGACGTTCATCTAGGTCATGTTAGAGGGAGGTCCCGTTACGACGTTTCCTGTCGCACCCGACATTCAGTAAGGTCGCAAAGCTGTAATTACCATTTGGAAAAAAAATCACCATTAGAGAATGCACTATTATAGTAGGTGGCCGCAAGAATGCCGACTGCCGTGAAAAATAAAGGACGGAAAAATAATGTCCGGTTCTTCTAACTGACGAGAGCCAACGGTGAACTAATACAATTAACGACATAATGTTAAAAAAAAAAAGAAAAAGGTGGACGCTCAAGATGTGTGAGCGTCCACCATGATGATACCAGTTCAGCTGTCGCAGTACTCAACGCCAATTGCCCCCTCCTCAACGATAAAAGGCACCGCTGTATAAGACGGGTACTATCGCGGACAATATGAACTGAAACACTCCTTCGCCCAGCCCGGTAGGCACGCATCTTTGGCGTGCCTACCGGGCTTTGAGGGAGCTGTAATCCGAACTACAATAAATTTTTTCTTTTATGCATTCGAAGGCCTGCTGCTCTGCGGTGCGCAATTGACGCTGCACGAGTCTGCCATACTCTGCAGGTGTTGCCACTAAAGGTCCCAGATAAGATCTTCCTACGAGCAGTGACATCCTTTGAAGCACCGACTGCGTGACGATGCAGGTCTTAGGAAGCGGCTGGTGGCGCACAGCAGAAGTCTGAACTGAATGACGCCATGAAGTTCCGGTGGAATGCGTTTCGTCATTTATATTGGTTCTCGTTACTTCTAAAAGAAATATGGCAAATTGTTTGGCAATTTTCTTGCATATGCGAAACAGCATCATAAACGTTTAGTGATACTGAGTTTCACGTGGGTACAATCAAGCGATAGTACCGCTAATCGGGCTGATAAACCCATGGCTATCTGCACAGCCTTCCATATTCTGGAGCTCCTTTCCCTCAGTGCGCTCAGGTGGTCAAGCTCCTCCTCGCCTACCCCTCTGGTCACGTGACCTCCCTCGTTAACCAATCAGCATCGAGCTTCGCGGCCACGCTCGTCGGGCTTCACGAAATGCTGATCACCTAGCCAAAGAACGTTTTACGTTAATAGAAGTAGCAAGGGACTTTAGTTGCCACAGCTCGGTGAACGACGAAGCTGAAAATATGTTTGGACGTAAAAAAAAAAGTATCCGCTGTTATACTGAGCATGACGTAAGCACCTGAACCGTCATGATCCTTGTTACAGTCAGTGGCAGACACGGCACTTACTGGTTTTCTTTTTTTTGCTTTTAAGACCAAACTTTTTTTTTTTTTTTTTTTCAGCTCGTCATTTGTCGAGTTTCCTCCGTATATATTACAACGATTGACTTTCCCCCAGGGCTTTCCAAGAAAATAGACGCACATAACTTTTTTTTTAGTGTAGTCCTCGAAGGTAAACCCTTGCCTGCATGTCCTCGAACAACGGTCTAGTGAGTGCGTTAATAGTGTGGAAGTTTAGGGTATGAGACGTCAGACGAGGGCGAGAGAAGCCGCTCTTTTTGTTCACGCGCGCGGCGGATCTGGAGCGTGTTGGAGACGGTTGGCGTTCCGCACGCGTCGAGGCGACACTGATCGCGTGCTCCCGCGTGGTCCGAGCACGCCTACGATGCAACGCCCTGATTCCCCGAATGCGCATCTCCGGTGGCGCGGTTGAGACTCGCCTTTTGTCCGAGCGGCTGGTGCTTTGTTGTTGTTGTTGTTGTCGTCTCCACCCCCAACTTTTGTTCTGTCGTCTTTAATGTTTTGTTTTTGTGCTAGGGACAGAGCTTGAAGCGCGAAAGCGTCACCCCTGATGAGTAATAGCGACGTGCAGATGCGCACATGGTTCAGTTACCATTGGTTTGGCAACAGTGTGGCCCTTCGAGCACGGGCTGTATGGGGCTTGACAGCTCCGGTCCTTCGGCGACCGTTTTGAATATGAGTCTATTTATATTCGTTTAAAGGGGCACTTTGTCTTCAATATCCTCTGTTCCATATTTATATACATGTACGCCTATATGTCCCTAACACATTTTTTTTTTTTTCGGGTACACCATGGAGCGTATGGTCCCATAGGGATTCTGAAATCTAAGTTGAAAAGACTGCTACTACCTGCTGCGCAGTTCTTTTTTTTTTTTAATGATAACTAATGCATATCAAATTGCTTCTATGAATACTTGGCGGGAAGGAAGAATTTGAATACCTATAAAGCTGTTCCATGAAATGTTCCGATTATGGTGTCCAAATATAATGCAGTAACTGAAACATATATAGTAATTATGTGGTCAAGTGACTGTCCTTGTGCTACTGCATCCATACATTCATGGAGCACAAGTAGCTATGAGGATCAGTCTTCAATTATTTCTTAATCACCCAATGATATCTTGTTTTCATATAGGGAGTAGGCAATGAAGAGGATTGACTGAAACGTAGTGGACTTTTTAAGCAAAAGCATTTTGGATATCACACGAAAGAAACTAGTTTCGAATAACCGGTGTAAAAAACAATTTCAATATTGCTAATTGATGTAACTTATTATCAGTAATTTCGTGGCTCTTAGGGAGTACTGTGCATGTCTGATCATAATACAAGTAAAAAATGAACTCCTATTTGAACGTTCGCATTTCAATCAAAACGCCCGGTTGCTCCTTAAAGGCCGATGACCGGACTCGAGATACTGCAAGGCAGAAGATCCTCCTCACCATGGGGGAGGAGGAAACAGGCAACGGTGGAAGGGTAGAAAGGGGGAGAGGAGGAAGCGAGGGGAAAGTGGAAAGTACGAACTGGTCGTCGGTCTTTAATGATGAACTTGTCTTCGATGAATCGGCCCAAAAAAGCATGTATGTGTACTTAGTATCCCCTTTGTTCTTCCTTCAATGTCCAGGATCCGGAGACCCAGAGGACCCTGGAGATGAGGCATCGGCTGGAGGAGGATGACCTGTACCGGCAGTTCGCCAAGAAGAGACAGGAGGAGGAGCACCACATCACGCACCAAATTCAGGTTCTTATCGTTTCGTCTCTTAGCTGCATGTAATAGTTGAATGTTGTGGTATCAGCTAATAGTCTCATCTAGAGGTAGAATTTAGAAGCTGCATCTGGTAGAGAAGAAAACTCCAAATAAATACAAGGACGACTGGACTAAAACAGGACAGAACGCAATCTTCATGCACAAGAAAACAGCGCCGAATAAGTGCAAGGACGAAGATAGACCGAAACAAGATGGCGCTGTTTTTGTCCTTGGGCTTAGTCGGTTCTGTTTTCTTGTACATGATCAACTTAACGGGCCCAAATCACCAGTTTGCTGCATCAAATAGGTACACGTGAAATTAGCAGGAAAGTAAACAATTTAGCGAAGCGTAGGTTTTCATTTTGAGGATCGCTGGCAGGTGACATTTTTGGCTTAGTTACTCTTGAGCCTTGTAATCTAGTCTGGTGAGCCGATTCGTACGACGAATGGGAGCACGAATTGATTATGACTGTTCATGGACGACTGGGGCGACATCCTCCATTCGCTCGTGTAGCCTTGGTAAGAGCCGATGCCGTAAGAAAGTATTGATGCACCTATAGCTCACCTAAATTCTTGTTTCTTCTACAAGGAACAACGACTAGATGGTTGACCAAGCAGTGTAGACGTAATGACGGATGTAAATGGTGCATTTAAATAAAATTAATGAAATGCTACAGGAAAAAAGTTTGAGAAAGCTGGAAGATTGGACGGGTAAGGTTAGTGGATGCGTAAAGACGGTATTGAGTGGATGGGTTCATATGCAATGTCGCTAAAAGAAAATGAACTAAGGCTCGTCCAGTGCGAGCAATACTCGCGGCGTCATAACATTGAGATAAAAGGGATCCCTAAAATTGACACAGAAGACGTCACTGAACTGGCAACTAAGCTCGGAGACATAATCGGAGAACCGATTGCTATTTTCGATATTGAAGTATGTCATCGTGTTCCGACTAAAGAGATGAGCAAAGCAAACGTGATAGTTCAATTTCAACGCCGGCAAAAAAGAGATAGCGTCCTTAACAAAGCAAAGCAAAAACGGATAACGTGCCAGGACCTTGGCCTGAATGAAGAATCGCCCGTTTATGTGAACGAGCATTTGTGCCCCTCTATGAAAAGGTTGCTCGGAATGGCTGTGTCGAGGAAGCGTCAATTCCAGTGGCGATACGTCTGGGTGCAAAATTGCAAGATTTTAGCTAGGAAGGCGTATGGAGCCCCTATCGTTCAAATCTCATGTGAAGGCGACCTTGATAAGATCTGCTAACCCCAAGGGAAAAGGAAAGAAAGTATTTGCTTGGGTACGCTTTTTTTTTTCGGTATGGCTGTAAATCTTGGTACTATGACACTAGAAGATCTAAGTGATTTCTTAAAGATCCAGACTAATACAAAAACTAGCTTTTTTCATTTAAATGTACAGTCTGCACGATCGAAAGGAGATGATCTTGCATTGTGTTTTGATTCCATCGAAACTCCTTTTAACGTTATAATGTTAACAGAAGCATGGTATAAGGACGATGATGATGCTTTTGTTATTTCTGGTTATTATAATTTTATCTTAAATCGCGACTATGGTCGTGGAGGCGGTGTGTCATTGCAGACTAATGTTTCCGGCTTTGTGCTCCTCAGTGATTACTCTGTTGTTACGCCACACTATGAAATACTCTGCATTAGAAAACACTGTTGTATTTATTCTGTCTTATATCGCCCGCCAAATGGAAATATTTCGGTCTTTATAAATTTTTTGGAAGAGTTATTTTGTTTTGCGAACGAAGAAGGCTGTAAATTGTATCTGGGTGGTGATTTTAATATAAATATGCTCGAAGCTTCCCGCATTACCGATGACTTTGCGAATTTGTTGACGTCAAATAATTTCAGTAATGTCATAATTCCTCCAACTCGGGTTTCGTGCTCAACGTCAACATTGATTGCTCTGTTTATAACCAACGACTGTGAAGACAACGTTAGTGCTGGTGTGCTGGGCTATGGGTTAAGCGATCACCTCCCTATAGTTATGTTCATTAATAACAATGTACCATGTAATAGGGCTATCAACCCCCCAGTAATGTCCCGAAATATTAACGCTACAACACTCGAAAAGTTTAGAGAAAAAATCGGTGCTATCAATTGGAGTCCCGTGTTGAGGGAAACTGATGTTGATAAGTGCTATAACCTCTTTTTAGACCTGATAAAAGACGCATACTATTCTTCGTTTCCGTACAAGAAAATTCACTGTAATAAGAAGTGCAAAAAACCATGGGTCACTAAACGACTATTAAGACTTATTAAAAAAAAGAATTTTCTTTATGGCAACTTTCTTAGGACACGAAATGAAAAAATATTGCTAGAATTTAAAAAATTTAGAAACTTTGTCAATGCAGAATTGAAACGAGCTAAACACCGCTATTATGCAGATCTATTTGATATATCTTGCTTAAAGCAGCCCGAAGTCGTATGGAAACATTTGCACTCCTTAATACGGAATCCAACTCAAGATAGAGCAGTCACTAGTATAAGCATAGGCAATAGAACTATTTCTGGTGTAGAGCTGGCGAATATGTTTAATGATTATTTTGTGAGCGTAGGGAAAAGTAGTTATAACGGTTCTGCAGCAAATAATATCCCCAGAATAAACGAAACCATGTTTTTAAACCCATGTGATACTAAAGAAGTACAATCTACTTTCATGAATATAAAAAACAGTCGTAGCCATGACTGTGAGGATCTTCAAATTGGGCCGGTGAAATTTGTAGTTGACTTGCTATTACCGTGTATAACTCATCTGTATAATCTTATATTGTCTTCCGGTATATTTCCTAAGAGGATGCAAATTGCGCAAGTATCCGTAGTGTATAAAGGTGGTGATCGCAATGACGTAAGTAATTATCGACCCATATCTATCCTTCCTGTCTTTTCGAAACCGATTGAAAAAATTGTGCACTCTCGACTACTACATTTTTTTGAAAAATACTCGCTACTGACTGATTCTCAGTTCGGCTTCAGGAAACATAAATCTACGGAAACCGCGTTATTGGTGCAGAAGGAAATGATATTAGAAAATTTTGAAAAAAAACTTCTAACGTTGGGTATATTTATAGACTTAAGCAAAGCTTTCGATAGGATAAATCACCAAATTCTTCTAAATAAACTTGAACGTTATAGCATCCGAGGTATCCCATTATCGCTCATAACGTCTTATTTACAATATCGATCCCAATATGTTCGAATTAGAAATTATGTATCTACTACTGAACGAATTTACTCCGGGGTTCCTCAGGGTAGTATTCTAGGGCCTCTATTGTTTCTCGTATATGTGAATGATATAGTAAGCATCGAAAATACCGCTAAATTTATAATGTACGCCGACGATACAAGCATATTTTTTTTTTAGTTTCAAAGAAGACCTACTTACCTCCATAGCAAACGTTTTTCTGGGTAAATTAAAAAAATTGGATAAATATTAACTCTCTTATTCTTAATACCACTAAAACTAAGGTTGTCCTATTTCAATGCCCGGGATCGTATGTTCAAATATCACGTGATTTGTATTTTGGGTCATGCAAATTAGAATGTGTTGATACCGTTAAGACTCTCGGTGTTTTATTTTCTAGTCATATGTCATGGAATAATCACGTAACATGCATTCATAAAAAACTTTCTAAAGTTGTTGGGATTATGAATAAATACAGGCATATACTTCCCGTAAACATCAAACGGTTAATTTACAATTCCCTTTTTCATTCTATAATCTGCTATTCCCATTTAGTGTGGGGAACAACTACTAAGAGCAATTTAGACAAATTGCGTCTTTTACAGAAAAAGGCTGTTAGAATGATTGAAAATGTACCTCGTGATTATCACTCTCTTCCTCTTTTTGAAAAACATAAAATCATTGATATATATAATATGTATTCCTCCAGATTGATTTTAAATTACCAACAATGTGTAAGAAAAAATATTAACATAATCTTAGACCTTGCTAAGCTAGAAAAAAAACGAGTCCATTTACGCATCGCGTCATAGGCCCCCCTGGCGTCTTCCTGTATCTAGAACAAATTTCGGCACTCAGAGATACCACTGCCAATTACCGCTATTGTTAAACTTTCTTTTTTCTCATGGAATTGATATATACTCTGTAAACAGTCGTACAATACAAGACATTTTGTAATATAAAATCACTATTTACGTTTCAGATAGCTCTAAATATGTGTACTTAATGTTTTTTTTGCTGTTGTTGTTTTTTTTTTTTTTGTGATTGTTATATACTGTGTTCTTTTTTGTATTCATGTCAGTTCCGCTGCTGCTTTGTATTGGGGCGCTGGGACTCGTCAAGCTGCTACGTGCAGCTTTTTTTCCAGCGCCCTTGTCACGAATGTATTTTTGTGGCAGAAAATAAACTGATTTGATTTGATTTGATTTGATATTTCAGTAGGCCTAGATAGGCTTGCAAATAGAAATTTACGTTAACCTGCCAGAGACCTATTTTTGTGGTTTGAAGTCTTGTTGAGGTTATTAGCATGTCCTGAAATTACCCTGTCCGGAATTTTTTTTTTTTTTCACGTTATGGAAGCGTTTTATTATATATGAATTGAAGCACCGGAGGTGTGCTGCCAACGCTAGAACCAATCGGATCGCTTGCAGGCCCGACATATGGACGTGGGTTCGGAGAAGACACAGTGAAGAAAGTTGTCAAATACACATACAAAAACCAAAACGGTTTTAAGTTTTTTTTTGGCGCCCCAAGAACTCTTTCAACTTGCAAAGTTCGGCTTCGATCCAAGCACTGTCGCCCCTTGGCAAACAAGACAGGCAACTAAACAATAAAACATTTTCCGCCTAAAAAAAAGTTTAAAATGTTTTATAGGTTTTGTCGAAACACCCTTTGAGGGGGTACTTAAAATAATTTTAGGGTGCAAAATATGGACAAGCCGAAGAACCCGTAAGAGCTCATTTACGTCCAGATTTTGTTTAGAGTTTACTCTTTTATAAAACCGAACTGACCCCTTAAAACGATGAACGATTGGAGACGCCTTCTATACTTGATAGCTAGAGGTCATATTCTTTTTGAAATAATCTAAGCGACACGTAAAAAGTACCGCATGCGTTTTTTTTAAATATTACATTTCTTTTTTACATTTTTTAACTTCTGACTTTTTTACGTTTTTTTTTTACCCCTACATTTCACCACCTCGGCTTGTGGCGACAAAATTTTCCATGGCTGAAATTGACGAATTTCCAGACCAGTAGGTATAGCTTATCGAAGTATACTCTGCTATTCGCAGCTCCAACGCCTTATAGATGGCAGGGCGGTAGTGCCAAGAAGGCGGAAGGGGCGGGGACAGATCCTCCAGGACGTTCCGTGTGTCTACTCGCTGACGCTGGTCTGTGCTAAAATTAATTTGTTTGGCTACAAATTTAGAACGGTCAGGGCAAGAGCATATCACAGGGGACGGAGATTCTGACGTGAGTTAAGAAAATGAGTATTTTGATTTCTAAAACTGGCGAAGCTGGGCACAATTTTTATTTAAACGCAATCGTTTTTTTTTTTTTTTTTTAATTGCATGATGCACGAGAATGCTGACCAGAACCATACGGTAACAGCAGCACCAAGGCCGATGGTCCCCGCCACCGTCTCTGTCGCCGCTTCCGCTTCTATAATTAATTCTTCATTCGTTCTCTAGAGGGCGAGCGGCGTGCTGGAGTTGCGAATTGCCTGTGTATACTCTCATCGTAGCTAAAGTTTTCATTTGGATGATCGTTGCTGTCGATCCAAACAAACTCGTGTGCTGTTCACTCTCATCGTAGCTAAAGTTTTCATTTGGATGATCGTTGCTGTCGATCCAAACAAACTCGTGTGCTGTTACTATCACCCAGTTTTTATTAGCATGTCTTTCAGTGTTCTGATCGATGTATGTTCTGATTTGCAGGAAGAATGGGAGAAGGAGCTGGAACGGCTCACGTACCGGTACCAGCAGGAGATCCGCAAGAAAAAGAAGATCAGCATCAACTCCGAGGAAGAGCGCGCCCTGACGGTACGGATGCAGAAGGAGAAGGACGATCTCGAGAAGAACATGACCATCAAGCTGGACCGAAAGAAGGAGTCCCTCACCCGAAAGCTGCTGGAAGCTGAGCGGGCCGCCACGGCCGACCTCGTGGAGAAGCACAGCGAGGAGATGCTCAACCTCATCAACGAGAAGAAAGACGAGCTCATCAGGGTGAGGCCCGCTCCCGGAGTTTTGTGTACTTTTGGGGTCGTTTGTAGGGTTCGCGGCATACTGCATTTACAGAGGGAAAGAAACTGCGTAGAAGGTATGGTTGACAGGCACAGAAAGGTAATAAAAATTTGGTTGCTTAAAGGCCGACGTACACTTCGCGCTTTCCACTTTCCCTCACTCCCTCATTTCGCATATCCTTTCCACCTTTCAAGTTGCCCCAACACGGCTCCCTTCGCAGTTTACGAAAGGAGGGCGCTAACAGGATAATCTTCCCTGCAGAAGACCGAGGTTGCACGTCGGCCTTTAAGATACTATTTTTGCGCTTTTTATATGTACGCGCAACGCGATTCACAGATGTTGAATCTACTGGCAGCCCCAAAGAATCCAAACATTGTTGCGTTTCTAGGGAGTCATCGCCATCAGTTGTGCCATGTTCCTTAGATCCAGGCTGATAAGGGGGGGGGGGGGGGGAGAGGTGGACGAAGGTCAATGCTTAAACGAACCCATACTAACAAAACAATTCGGAAGGACCAGCAGACAGCTCTGCGTCCTGCGTACGCCACTGCTCTGAACTATTTTTTTTAGCGAGCAAACTGAATTATTAGATGCGCATTCTTGGTTCCAGGGAGGAGCCAATAGGATCACCTACTAGGAGAACCAGAGAAATGTTAACACTCGCCTCAAGATCTCGCCAAGCATTAAAAAAGTCTTTGCAGTTTCTCCAGCGTTTCAACAAAGGTCGCCGTTCATAGTTCGCGCCAACGCCAGCGTCACAGGAAACGGTTCTGAGATAATCAGCCTGCAGAAGACATCACTCTCAAATGCAACCCCCCCCCCCCCCCCCCCACAAAAAAAAAAAAAAGAAAAAAAAAAGCGAGGTTAAACAGGTTTTAAAAATGCCACGGAAAGGGATGATTAACCAGAATGGAGAACTGGCAAGGTCATATATCGCGGAAAATTTTAAGTTTGATTAGTATCGAGAATCTTTCTGTCCAGACACACAAGGTATGTGTGCTGTAGAGGTTGTACTTTGAAGATATTTGGTTCCTCTAAGTTTGCTCTCCCTTTCGACGATTACTGATACGTCTTCCAGAAAATAGGCAAAGTTTAAGGACCAGAATCGTTGATTGCGGTCTAACAAAATAAAGCTCCGTTAACAGCTGTGTATACGCGTGCGACTGAGGTGTCGCTTCTCCGATTCTTCCATTCTTATTTATTTTCTTGAAACGCTTACTTCAATATATATTCTGCTTATTATCGGTGATTCCGTGCAGATGGAAAGGTAGCATTATCAGCATTGCCAATGAAAGGGTCGTCGTTTTACGTTTCCGGTTAAAACAAAAGCAAAAAATGAAAAATACTCTACAGTTTTTGGGCGCACTGCATGCGTGGGAAAGAGTGTTTATTCCTTGGTGGCAATGCGTAAACATGAGAATGTTACTTCCCAGTCTATCTAATATCTAATGGTTAGGTCATCTACCATCAGTATGGTAGCCTTATTATACTTGAATTTAATTTAGATATAAAGCTGTAGAGGTCACTCACTTTATTTAGCAAGACATGAGTTGCTTTAGTCGAATCAATCCTCCATTTAAAAAGACGTATACTTTTCTGTGTGAAAATCGTGATGATTAAGATATCAAGTGGAAACGAAGTATTTTTTAAGACTATATCGGCATTGAAAATTTCAGTAAAATGCATAGCCTCATTGCAACGCTCCAATAAATTATTTATACTAAATTTATTTGAATCAAGTAAATAACTTCAAATTTTCTCTGGAATTCTTTAGTCCAATATTCAAAATGTTATATTTGGTTGGGACTATCACTTTACTAGAACTTGTGCCTTATTTATACCTAATGCCACACTGGAGCTCACTAGTTGCACACATTTTCTAAACTTGTTGAAGGTAGTCTCTAGCATCGTTACAACAAAACCTTACATAGTAGGCTTTGCCATATTCGTGCTTCACAGCAGTTTAACGGTAGGGTCCCTTTTCTGATTTGTGCTTATGGACCAGAAAACAGCTTACCAGGAATAAAACATCGTTGGTCTAATTTACAGCGCAATTCAGCCTAATCGTACTGATAAGATGTCTGTCATATAATAACACAAGTGATTAAATCTCATTACATACAGAGCTAGTATGAGAGCTGTCCTTGCCTCCATTTGAGAATGGGATACACGCAGTTATTGAATACTGATTATGTCATTTTCTTATCCTGCAGCGGGAAGGTGACGACTACACAAGCGAGGAGCTGAGTCCCTATCCAAGCCACCCGCCACCACCCACGCCGGCGACAATATCCAAAACGGACATCTACACTGATCCGGACATTTTTGCGGAACTGGACCAAATTGCTATCAACGTGAGTTTGTTACGCAAGCATTCCAAAAATTGCTACTTCTATACTTTTGTGTTCTTGTAAACAAAAAGATGAAAGGATGCCTCAAACCGCAAAGGCATTGCAGTACAGTAAGTCTCCCAAAAAGCAGGGAATCATCCGGAGATTTATCAAAATGTAGCAAGCAGATGTAGGAGAAATATGCCAAATCGCAGTAGCGTGTTGTACTTTTATGGGCGCTGGCACTTTAAAGCAATTAAATATTGTCCTTTTGACGTAGTATTTTTGAGATGGAAAGAAATAATTTAGATATAAACCAAATGCATTTAAACTGGTGAGCTAGCCCATTGTTGGACACAAAAGCGCACTGCTATCATTTTTTTCTTCAATATATCTTTGTGCCTTTATATTACTAGGTCTTCTTCTAATAGTAACTGAAAACTGTAAAAAAAAAAAATCAATTTTCGCGAGAACCGAATGTTTGTAACTTTTGACACTTGAAACATATCGCGAAAAATGCACCTCGCCGAATATATACTTACGCATGATTACAAATACATAGCACAGCACTCCTAATCGCAAAATTTTGTGACCGAAATATATTTTCTAAAGCAACACTTTGCAAATTTATGAAGTAATTAGCTCGTGTAAATAAAGTGGTTTACAGTATATTAATGAAAGAATGTTTAAATGCAAATATGTTAGATGTTTTGCCGCTTCCGTGTAACTCTGCGCTGCCGACATTTGCTAGTAAAACTCTTTTTATGCATACTTTCTGAAAACTTGCATTATGAAAAATGTAATATTAAGGAAGTTTTGGCAGTTTATAACTACACTTGGATACGAGCGATAGATGGGTTAAATCTTAAAGTACCATTATCCTACAGGTGGCACAAGCAGATCAGCAGACCTTCACCGATCTGGTGCGACAGTTGATATGCAGCTGTGGTACTGATGTGGAGAAAGCAAGGTAAGAATGCAGACATAGTTGCATCAGTCGTACTCAATTTGCTCATTTCTTTCCTTCATTAGTAACCTTAGAATTTTGTGATCAAAATTTTCGTACTACTATCATGCTTTCTTACATTGTAAGGCTGAGAGCTGTGTTGGGATGAGGAAATTTGATTGTCATGCATTAAGAAATTATCTTCAGATGGTTGACATTGGTTCTTTTTGTGGACTAGCTAGTAGTCTCAAATATTTGTTATCCCTGAACTTCCCCTACAGTAATTGAGACACTTAAAAAATGAAAAATATTCCAAGATGTATTTGTGTTATTTTTACACAGGTGAACCTTCAAAATAGTGTCATAGTTCCTATATGTTTTATATATGCCTAGTTTTTTTTTATCAGCATAAATGATAAGTATATACTGCACTGGACGAAAAATATTGCCTTCAACAACTGTTTTGGACTGTAAATCTGTCTCACATTTTATGCCCCTTCTATTTTATGTCATTTTTATAATACTTAAAAGTTACTTAGAATTGAGGTAAAGCACAGTTTCTGAACATTTTAAAGGAGCGGTGCAACAATTTCAGGGCTTTGCTTAAATAATTGTGGAAGTTGATGCCTGACACTTCTGCAGTGAACTACAGCAAACAGATTTTGCCTGGATACCCTAGTTTTTATTTTAATCAATCAATCAATCAATCAATCGATGTTTATTTTTCTCTTGTGCTAACCAACAGCTCGAAAGCCTACTGGGTTAAGCACACACAATTGAAATACACCCAAAATACAGAGTAGACAAAAAATAAAGAGTTGTGAAAAAAAAAAAAAACATGCAAGCACACAAACGTGTATATATGCCAATTAAAAACACATGCATCAAAATGATCGTTCTCCAAAAGACAGGTTTGTACTAAAAATATCGACGTCAGTAAATTGCGTGTTTAAAACATGTTGGATACGCGAAACCGGTGATGCGTTTCGAATGAGGTCTGGGTAAACGACTCTAGGATTTCTAGAGTTCGTTCTAAGTGGTATGCGAAAGTGAACACAGGTGAGGAGAGTAGGGCTGTCTATTGCATTATGAATTAGCCTATGTAAAAACTGAACATCCCGAATGGACCTTCTTTTACCTAAGGTGCCCAATGTTAATTTTGCTAAAATCGAATTATATTCAACACTTTCTTCCAAAATATCGGTCGTAAATGATGCGCACAAATCGCTTTTGTACATGTTCTATACTTTCACTTGCTGTTATAGATATGCAGTTCCAGACTACAGATGCAAATTCTAGTTTCGAACGTATATGGGTACTATATAATTTCAAGAGACAGTGATGAGTGATAAATGGTCTAGTTAAGCGAGACATTATTCCTAGCGTGCGCAATGACTGGCTGATAATGGAGTTTACATGAGAAAGGAAAAAAAGATGGTCGTCCACAAGAACACCTAGGTCTCGCATCTGCGTGGTCCGACAGATCGTTTCATTTTCCAGAACATATGTATAGGATAAATTGTGACGCTTTCTTGACAGCGACATGACTTTTGTTTTGCGCGGATTTAAGAAAAGATTGTTAGAACTGCACCATTCTACCACTGAACGAAGATCGTCCTGCAGCAAAGTACAGTCAGTGACTGAGGTGACCTCCCGAAACAACTCCGTCATCTGCGAACATAAGTAATTGAGAGTGTTTTACGGACGACACCAAATCATTTATAAAAATAAAAAACAACAAAGGTCCAAGGTTTGAGCCTTGGGGCACTCCTGATATAGAAATGAATGGACGAGACAAGAAGCCAGATACCCTTACACAGTTCTGCATTTTATGAAGATAACTCCTAAACCAGGTATTGTACTCAGGACTCAGGCCATAGTCCCTAAGTTTCAGCAATAACAGCTCATGATTGACCTTATCGAAGGCTTTGGACATATCCAGATATATTGCGTCTACTTGGCCCCGAGACTGAATAATTGGAAAAGCAAAATTTAAAAATGTGCACAGATTTGTCTCGACGGATCTGCCTTTGACGAAACCGTGCTGTACAAGAACAAACTTTCTTTTAAAATAATTATACAAACGATTGTACACCAGCTTCTCAAAAACCTTTGAAAATGCATTGAGAGGGGAAACAGGACGATAGTTACTAACATCACAAGAATTACCTGACTTGAAAATCGGGACTACTATTGAATATTTCCATTTTTCTGGAAAGACACCACTCTGTATAGACAAGTTAAACACTTTTTCAAGAACAGGAGCAAAACATTCGGCACATCCTTTTAGAACGAAGTTGGGAATACCATCTGAACCTGTGGACAGTTTAGAATTCAGCTTTCCAATAGCTAAAAGCACTTCGTGAACAGTACATCTAGTAAAAGGTAAATAGTCATCAAAAGTAGTATTACATGTCCTGGGTAAAGGGGTGTTGACATTGGAAAAGCATGAACTGAAATGATGCGAAAACAACTCACAAACAGATTTTGGGGACGTTTCAATAACTGACCCGTTGCTCAGCGTTATATCGTTAAAGTTCTTCGTGGTATGCTTTTTCACATAGCGCCAGAATTCTTCTGGTCGCTTGTTCAGGTTACGCTCCATCTGCCTGCGGTAGTGATTAAAAAATGAAAAAGATCCAGGTTTTCGCCGCCTCTCAACTCGTGCATCGTCTTCCGGGTCACGTGCACAGTGACGTCACTTGAGTAGGCGCGGAGTTCCGGAAAAGTTCTCTCTTTAGAACCATCAGCGAGCAGCGAGAACTCATCCGCTCGCGATCGCGTGACCACCCGTCCTTGCCCGTCCGGCGCTGTCCCCCTCCCCCTCCGGCTTCTGGCGGCTGTTCGCGGTTTTGTGGACCTAGGATAGATGGCGCCACTAAAACTCCGTATAATGAAAGTTTTGTCGATGATACCAGGGTTTTGACGCATTTATATATATGTTGGAACGACAAGATTTATAAAAAAGTTACCTTTTATCGAGCAGGTATTCGCACAACTTGCTATCTTTTTTACAACTACCCAAGTGACGTCACGCCGCTTGTTTCTCATGGCCGCCGCTCGTGGCTGCAGGTCGGGAAATATTCCAAGTTTTGCCTCGCTATTACGCGGCGGAATCGCAACATTTCGATGAAAGGAGGTGTGTTTTCTGCCATTTGTGACACAGTGAACAATATCAAAAGCAGAAAATGCCAATTCTTTCAACGTTAAAATCGTTGCACAGCTCCTTTAAGTAAATGGGTCTACATGTAAGCGAGTTCCCTTTTGAAAGAAGCATGTCCCATGTGGATTCACACCAGGAGAGAGTAATTGCAGAAATTCAGGAGCATGCCGTATAGTTCTTTTTGGAAATCCCGTCAAGATATTTCTTTGCATGATGAGCAGTTTTTTGCAATTTATGTTTCAAGTCATTACTGTTACTTGACGACTTGCCTAGCTCTACCTTGCAAATATATAGAAAATATTACACTGTTGAGCAAGTCCGATCTTTGCCCATTTTAATCCTTGTTAAAACTACAATAATATATTTCTTTAGAAAAAAAAATAATGCATCTGTGCATGAGTCAGATTCATGGGCGCTGTATCTAAGATTTGTAGTGTTTTTCTGTAAAAATAATCATTCTGCTCAGGAAGCTTATTGCCCATCTGTTCTTAAGTGACGGTATTTACTCAATGCACAGCCATTACATGTCGACAATTATAAACCTTTGACCATGGAAGCTTTGTAGACAATCGGAAAAAATTTAACACTTCATAATACACGCCTCTTAGCTAAAGCTATCTGATATATGACGCACTAACAGCACTGAAGAACTTTATAACATAGCAACTTCCTCATAATTCAATCATTTTGCTCTGCCCTACTTCCTGCAGGACCATTTTCCGGTGGATCACGGTCAAGAATCTCAACACTATGCACTTCGACGACAACGTGATTGCCGATACGCCCATGGGCATCCTCAGGGGAATCAAGCATGGTACAGAGAGCTACCACGTGCTCTTCAAGAGGCTTTGCAGGTGAGCTGAAGGACTCGCAGTTTTGACTTTCAGACAGACAAGGTGAACGGAGTATGGTAAAGTTATACCTGATGCCTATGACTTCTGGTAGCCTTTTTATCTAGGACTATCTTGCCATTTAAAGTAGGAGTGTGCTCGCTGCGCAACTCTGCTATATTTTTGTACCTTATTTATGCATACGTTTATAGCTGCTGGTGCTATGTACTTATGATGCATGCAACGATTAATTTTCTAAATAATGCTGTCCCACCTTTTTGTTACATTTACAGTTACGCAGGTCTTCATTGCGTGGTCATCAAGGGTTACTCCAAGAGCGCCGGTTACCAGCCGGGTGTTCGGTTCGAAGACAACCGCTTTCGCAATTCCTGGAACGCCGTCTATGTAGCCGGTGCATGGCGCTTCGTTCAGTGCAACTGGGGTGCGCGGCACCTTGTCAACGCCAAGGAGGTTCCAAAACCTGGAAGCAAAGGAAAATCCGATTCCCTTCGGTACGAGTACGATGACCATTACTTCTTGACCGATGCTCGAGAGTTCATCTATGAGTTCTTCCCACTTCAACCAGAATGGCAGCTTCTCAAGAGGCCCATCACTCTGCGGGAGTTTGAAGAACTTCCCTTTGTGAGGTCACTATTCTTCCGTTATGGCCTCTACTTCCCTGACACCGATACCAATGCCACGCTGTTCACGGACAGCACGGGAGCTGCGACAGTTCGTATCGGAATGCCCGAGGACATGTCTCACAGCCTTATCTTCCATTACAACCTCAAGTTCTACGACAGCGACCGTGATATTTTTGACGGTGTCAGTCTCAAGCGCTTTGTGATGCAGAGCATGGTAGGCAACATCGTAGCGTTCAGGGTTCACGCGCCTTGCTCCGGGTCGTTGCTTCTTGATATCTTTGCCAACGCCGTGACACCGAGGGAGTACCTTACGGGCGAGCCAATGAAGTTTAAGAGTGTCTGCAAGTTCAAGATTGTCTGCGAAGATCTGCAGACGGTCATGGTTCCCCTGCCAGACTGTGCTTCCGGAGAATGGGGACCCATGAAGGCAACGCGACTCTTTGGTCTCGTGCCAGAGACACACGAAGATGCGCTCATCTTTTCACCGCGGGAGCTCGAAGTTCGATTCCGAATGACCCGGCCCTTGACGGATTTCATGGCAACCCTGCACAAAAATGGCGTCGAGGAGAAGAAGCTCTCCAAGTTTGTGTCCCATACGGTTCGGGAAGACATGGTCACCTTCTTCCTTGCGTTTCCGGATGACGGACAGTACGGCATGGACATCTATACCCGAGAGATGAACGGAGAAATCGAAACGGGAGAAAAACATCTACTGACCCATTCCTGCAAGTACCTCATCAACGTCTCCAAGAAGTGACGGCAAGAACAGTGACTTCGCCAACTGGTGCATGTTATGTTGTTGCCAACCTTGCTTCCGTTTACAATTCAGCTACATTAGCTTTAGTGTTTGATGGACATGATTGCCCATCATGGAGGTCTCACCAACTGGAACATTACTTTGCTAACGCTAAGAGATTCTGCTTGTCTAGTGGTTCAAGCGTTCAGACTTCCCGTGTGTATGAATCGTAGTGCTGTCGCATATGTTTGTACCATTTATTTAAATAAGCTAACAGGCAAATTGTGTTTCATACTTTTGTAAAAAAAAAAGAAAAAAAAGCAGAGTTTCCTCTAGAGGTCACAAGGCTTGACGTTTTCATTTGCTTGTGACCAAAGTTTATGCACTTACACTGTAATGTGAAGAAACGTCTTGCCTTCGTTGCACTTAGATTTTAAGAGTTGCATTTCAACTTAGACTTATCTTACATTTTTTTTACCTCCTGTTGGGTTTTCCAATGACATACTGCTACTTTTTTATATTTTATACACATTACTAACTTTAGCATTTATAGTGTAAGTTAATAAAGTTAATATATTTTATACCATGCTTGAAATGTTGTTCTTATTTTCCTATTTGCCTTTCAAGTTATGAGATTAATAGGTGTTTCAAATCAAAGCTTTTACTTTTTATTTCATAAGTTTGGATAAGTGCTAGGGAAATTAAGTGATGTTAGGAAAACCCAAAGCGAAATACTTTTGAGTAGTGGTAAATACTTTTGTTTTTCTTTTAAATGTATTGTGGTATGCTTTATTAGCAGTCAAGATTTTCTTACTTTTAGCACCTATTGAAGGCAGACTTGGGAGGCGAGTTGTTGCATGGAGAGATAAGGCTCGTTCACATACTTGTAACCAAGTACGACCGAGAGAGACAAAACTGTTTTTTAAGCCTCTTGCGACGTCTTAGGGCCAGATGCGCTGCTGCTCTCTGACCTACTCGGTTGCAACTGTATGAACGGCGCTTTGCTAGTGACTCATTACTTCAAGTAATTTTAGCGTCTTCTGCGTTTATTTCCATATGTATAGTACAAGCAACGCATCTGGCCGTCGCCGTGTCTCTGCCTGCGCATTTGGAAGATGGCCGAAGCTTCCTTGGTGCAAAAAGTAATGGAAATGGGGTGGTTGGTGCATGGTTGAGGTAAAAAGTTGGGGCTCCAACCCGCGCTGGGGATCCAATCCACGGTGGTTGGCCAGCGAAGCTGTAGTATCGCATGCAACGATTGCCCACTGCACTATACCAAATGATGGGCGATAGGAAAGTAAATGCACTGTACCAAAACTTTTACTTTGAAACGACATTGATAACTGCAATAACTGCAATGATAACTGCAACGTGCTTCGCATTGTTCGCGCGCGCCTTATCATCTCTCATGGGGTTTTGACACTTGTTTTGTGCTTTTCTTATTGAAACGAATACCGAGGAGTATGTTGCATGCACACACCCCAGTATGTGTTTTTTATAGCATCTAAGCAGCAGAAGCCTAGCAAAACACTGCGCAAACCGGGCAAAAAAAAAAAGTTTCAATTTGTAGGCTAGGTGACACGAGCTACCGCCCATCCCTCCAAGCACAATGGCGTTGGCCCGTGGTTTTGGTTTCGCTCACCGCCGTGTTGATTTTCGTAGAGCCCTCTGGGCACCAGGGGATTCAAATAGCGTGGCGTACTCCCAATGGTGTTGCTGCTGTAACTTTATATGGCTTGCTATTAAACTAGGTAAACAGAAAGGCGTATTATTTTTTATCTCTTATATGGAACTATTGAAATTTTCTTATAAACTTTACTTCATTTATAGTTTTGGTTTCAAATATTGCATAAAACGGACGTTTTATGGACCAAGACCACCAGAAGACTGAGAAACCGGTTTTGGGGAAAGCGAGCCGCGCCGATGGGGCTGGGGACCTTGATGGGGACGATCGGGACGACAACGAAACGCGGAGGTCAACGGTTTGCCCCCTTGGCAACAGAAAGACAGACTGAGGAAGACACGAAGCCCGGTGGCTCCACGGCTCCCATCCTTTACCGCTGCTTTCGCGAATCTGTCGGGGACGACCTTGACGAGCCACATCTTTTGTTAAAAAAGAAAGAAAAAAAAAATTCGGGAGAAAAGGTGTTTACCGGCGTTTGGCCTCCCTTCCCCTGTATGTATACGCGGTAGAAAGGCGGCAGTATTTTCGCGAATAGACGGTTTTATTTAAGGGTTTCGTAACTTGCCACATTTTATTTTCATTTTGCGTCAATGGCTACCAATGCTTCTTTCTTCTTTGGTGATGTTGACGATATTCTGAGTTCGCAGTCAACATGGAGTTATTATGATTCAGGTTATTTTAAACACTTCAGCGAACTGCGTAATAAAAAGAAATTGTCTTTATTTCAGTTGAATGCGCGAAGTTTAAGAAACACACACGAAGGTGTTGACAGGTTACTAGATGAGTTAAACCATAATTTGATATTTTAGATTTCACTAAAACTTGATTTTCAAACGACTTCGATGTCGTTCACTTGGAGGTGTATGAATGCACATCAATATCCCCAAACAATGTGAAAGGAGGAGGTGCGGCGCTGTATGTAAAGGAACACTTAGATGTACGTGCCATATCAGAATTCTCTATAATTAATCCGCATTATGAGTTATGGTAAAGTGTGCAGATACCATACTTGTCATGTATAGACATCATTCGGGTGCAGTATACATGTTTTTAGAATATCTTGAAGCTATGCTGGAATGGTGCGCGCAAATCGGTAAACGTGGTATTGTTTGTGGTGACTTTCGTATAGATGTATTATCTGCAGATCCAGCCAAGCAAAAGCTTCTAGATGTTTTTTCTTATTCTTTGGGTCATGAAAATGTAATTCATGTCCTTATCGGGGTGACGGAAATGTCTCGGACCTTGCTTGACCTGTGCTTTAAGAACTATCAAGTGAATGAGCTAGAGGCGGGTGTTCTGCTATCGGATCTTAGTGACCATTTACTATATGTTTATTTTTTCACATCCTATTCAACACAACGTAAAGAACCCACAAGCCAAGCACCCATTATGTATAGGGTCATTAATTGTGATAAAATTTTGTTTCAAAGTTTAGTCGAGGAGGAAAACGGAGCTTTGTTGTTCAGTTCGATGATCCGGACCATTGCAGCATACGGCCTTTTTTCAACAAGAATTGGGGAACTATATGGTCAAGCGGTTCCAATGGCGTCATTTAAAAGGAACGAGAAATGAAAACGTCTTGGGTGGATGCCACACTTCTTAAGAGAATAAAACAACTAGATAAGCTCTTTGCCCTTTTTATAAAACCAAAACACCCAAATTATCTAGCTGAATTAAAAAAAAAGGGCTCGAGGCACACCTAAGCACTTCTTATGAGTTGTAAATGCGAAAGCATGCACGCCGCTCTTCACTCTAAAAAAAGCCCGTACGTCTACTTTCCCGCACGACACTCGGAGAGCCAATCAGCGCAACTTACGGAAGCAGCTCAGTGAATGACGATGCCGATACATATGTTTAGACCAAAAAACGCAGTCTGAGTTGTCGCCATTAGGAAAAGTGCGTAGCGTCTCCAGAGAAAAGTGGCGCGTGCCAGGGATGGAAAAGATGGAAACGCTGAACAGAGAGGTCTGTCTGACTCTTCATGACATGGCGATATCGAAAAATAATTTCCATCTGCTCAGAGTTGCCGGTATATAGTACTTAGCTTCTGGTCATGTCCGGGCGACCACCCTTGTGTCTGAGATGCAAAAAAAGTTGATCAAATACGTAGGCAGTGTCGCATCCAAAGTGTGCGTGTTGCAACAAATTCGGACACGAAAGTGACGAGTGCTACTGCAGCTATGTAGCCGTGCTACGGGGCTCTGGCACAGAAGCAGATGCCAACCAAAAGTTCATGGATATCTCCGAAGTCGTAGACGCCACGGGAGAGCTCCTCCCAACTCAAGCCGGGTCTGCAGAGTCCGGACTTCCTATTTCCGATAAGAACGAAGATCCAGCTGTCAAGAAAGCCTCGGAAACACCACAAACCAGCTCGGAGACAGAGAATGAAGTAAAAGACTCACATGAAAGCAAGGACAAAGACCCCCCGCGACCACGGAAGGTAAAGGGTAACTCCGGCCAAAACTCAATATGAAATAAATTACCGGTATCGCTGCAGTGACACAAAATACGACCCCAGCCAAAATATTATGTCCATGGGACGCCACATTCTCAACTACCGCCGATAATAAAAATGCGACCCGCCGCCAGCCGCTGCTCCTTAGCGGGCGGCCAGCGGGTTGCCGATCGCTAAAGCAACATTGGGCCGTGACGTCACGATCGTCCTCTTTATTTCCTCCGGTCCGGGCGTTGCGCGGAGTGCGCTTTTTTGAGCCGCTACCACCGTTACTTCGGCTTGTGATTGGCGTGTTTAGCCGTTGCTTGTATCTGTAGCCCGTGTAACTTCGGTATAGCCTTTTGTTTATTTGCTTGAGAGGACTCCAAGACTCGTTTTAGCGAGCAACTCGGTGCGCCCAAGACTGCCCAACTGTTCCTCGAAAGATGCCGAGCGCAACTTGTAGTGCTATGGGCTGCTCAAACAACCCGCTGCGCAACCCGGAGGTGCCTTTTCACAAGTTTCCAACGGACCGGAAATTGAAGAAGGTGCGGGTGAAAGCTGTTCGACGAGTGGACTGTGCACTTCGGCTTTTACGCGCCCGAGTTAAAACTAACGCAAAAACAGGCGTGTACAGCCCAGCACACGTGTGTTCGGGCGCCAGAGCCCACGCCGGAGAGCCTCAAAGCTTCGTGTCTGGGACTGACCCGTAGCGCGAAAGCGAGATGGCCCCCAGTACTGTACGTCACTGGCAGCGCGGTGTAGAGCAACGCCGCTCCATTCACGGAGCCCCGATGACAATTTAGGTCCAGCGACGAGTACGGAAGACCGCACACACGGCGACAGCCGCCGAGTACGGCACCGAACAAGTTCACTCGTTTTCCAGTCGCTAGCTTTTGGGTATAAAAGCGACGAGTACGGCATAGCGTACGCACGGCGGCGGCCGCCGAGTACGGCACCGTACGAGTTCACGGGTTTTCCAGTCGCTAGCTTTTGGGTATACGCACTAACTCTTGCTACATATGCTGGATAACTACCGCGTATACAGAATTAAAACAAAATCAGCTTACCTCCTATTTTTCGACGGCTAGCCTAACAGAGGTAGGTGCCGCTCGGCCTGCGTACTCGTTGAACGAGAACGATCCTGACGTCACGTTCACATAGCGGCTGATATCTAGTGTTGCCGGGGCCTCGAGCGGCTAGTTTCGGTTTTGTTGGTTTGTACAACTACGCACAATAATGAGAAATACATTACACCTTACAATTCAGGGACGCTGACTGCACTAAAAACAGTCATAATCCCAAAATCGAAAGTATGGACCGGAGTTGCCCTTTAACTCAGCAGCCTGCCGATCTTGCTGAGAAGCCGACGACGTCAGAAGGCAACGACGACACTCAGTGGATGCGACCAAAAGCAGTTCCAAGGACACTAACGAAGCCAAACGAAAACGAGATATGCCACCGGACACC